AATTTTAGGTAGTCATTTGAATTTATAGTGATTTGCTGCTTACATTATTTGCAAATCACTTTTGGTGCGGGGAGTGTTAAAGAATTAAAATTCACCTACAGTTTATTTGCATAACTTTATGCAGAATCTTTTTCGCGATCTCCACTTGGTAAAAGCCTTAACTTTAAAATGTCTTAAATATCAATTTACAGCATCTAGTTGATGCTTCATCTCCACTAGACTCATCCCCCGTCATCCTCCTGCCTTGGACGTGAGACGTGGACCGCTGGCCGTGCCCATTCTTCGGTGCAAACACGTGAACTCCAGACGACAGCATGTGGTGGGTGGCGTGACGACCATTAGTGCAGTGTCCTTTATGCCTTTCCAAATGCTGTTTAAATTTGCTTAGCCAAATAGTCTTCTCGAGCTGTCAATTACTTTAATTTAAACATGATCACAGTAGCCTTCATTAAATTTAATCTATATTGCGGTTATCCCATATTGTGGAGATCGTTAGAAAGATTTCTGAAAACTTTGGTACATTTAAGCAACTCTAAGCACGGAGCATTGTAAGTCTAAACTGTTAATTTACTTTGTCTCCTGCTTAATTATGTCGTATATTTAGGTGCTGTGATCTCTTGAAACTTTGCCTGGGACTGCGGCGGGAGCACTGGCCTACTGCTTACCTTTCAGCGGCAAGGGTCCCCGCCATAGCTAGGATACCGGATTTGGGGAGGATACCGAGCTATGACATTCGTCATACATTTTTGATGCGACGCACGTCGCATATTTCATCGCTCAATAAACTGTTCTTCTACCAATCCAATTTTTAATCCCTAATAAGTTTTTCAAGAGTCTGTGAAGGTTCATGCCAATTTATTTCATTTATTTATTTATTTATTTTATGCTACTATTTCATGCTACTATAATCCTTTTCGTGAGTTGAAATTACTTCGCCAGCTTTAAGGTTCGTTCATTAATTCGTAAACAGATAAAGTTTCTGGGTTTCTTTGCAACATAATAAGTTATCATATTAATATCCTAAATAGGTGTCACTTCAGGAATTTTCGTTAATTGATAGTCATATTTTGTTTCATAAATGGTATGTAATAAATGAAAGCAATATTTTTGATAGCTTGGATAATGATTAGCAATCAAATAAAGTATAAAACATTTATAGCCAATAATTGTCCTATTAATTCATGTGTGGGCAACAGGAATAATTTAATTCGAATTGAACGAGATATTGTCGAATTAAAAATGACATATTCTTGCATTTATTTATTAGAATTTGAGCGTTTTTTCCAGTTACAACTACTGTTTACCGTGAGCAACGTGATAGAAACGATGATGATTAAAGTAAATGCTACTTACAATTAGTCCTTGTAAACGAATAACAAACAGTAAAATCGCTATCAACTTCTCGAGGTAAACGAATAACAAACGGTAAAATCGCTATCAACTTCTCGAGATTAATGTTTAATGATATGACCAACGCACGAAATTCCGTTACTACGGCCGAAATTTCTGTACAACTTGTCTGAGCCCGGTAAGCCCTGGTTTTCGCTCAGGGGAGTGGGTCTGTGCTGAGACTGTGCAGTGTACTAAACTTTTTTTGCATTCTGATTTCTTTACTTCTCCTTACGAAAAAATGGTATTTTTCATCATAACTGAAACGGTGGCTTCATGGTTTAACTATATACTACTAACCACGCGGCGCACTAATACTACTAACCACGCGGCGGCTGATTAGTGGCGTTTACGGATCGCTGCTTGCACAGCAGAGTTGCGCTGGTCGTTCGTTCAACTTCAGTCTTCCATGTAGCCATCCAGGCAGCATGGATGAACCCAGACTGCGACCCTGGCTCTGCCTAAAGTCCCGCAGAATGGAGTGTGCTACTGCTGCCGCTCGACTCAGAATTGGACATGCCGGTGTCAGAAGCCATCCACCTACATAGATTCAACATGAGCGACTCTGATAGGGTTAGCAAACTTTAGACAGGTGACCAAAATGGAAATGTTGCTTATGTAGTCATTGTAGTGTATGTATAAGTGTGTATGTGTGCGTACTCTACTTATACTATCAACTTCAAGTTATAGTATAGGACTCACTCTCAATAGCTAATAGGCCTATGCATTTAAAAATTACTTTTTAAAGATAACACTTCTAAAGAATTCAGTGTTGGCAATGTTGCATATGTAGAATGAATTTCTAATTTTATCATCAAATATTATAAAAAATCATTTTTAAATTTTGTTTTTAAAACTAAAAGAAAAAATCAAAATTTTCAGAATTATTTATTCTGTCAATTGAATCATGCATTGTCTCCAAGTTCCAACAGTCCAACTCAGGCTAACACAAGTGTGCAAAATTTCAGATTGATTGGACCATAGTTAGGTATGTGCACAAAAAAAATTTTTTCCTTTGATTGTAATGAAAATTACACCACTGAAAAGAGAAAAAAATTTAGAAAAATATCATATAAGTATGAGTGAAGTAAGTCGACAAATGAAAAAGATATGAATTTTTTCCTATTTTCAATTTCACCCCACATAGTGGCAAAGCAGAGAGTTTTTTAGACTCTCCCTCAAGTTCATTTTTGAGTCCTATAAGTAGACCAGTAAAGTATCCTGGATACCAGCATTATCATACATAAGAAATTGGCTTAAATCTTGAGTAAATTAAAAATGAACTGATTCTAAAAAAAGCTCCAGCTTGCCACTATGGATTGGACAGGTTGTAGTGTGTTAAATAGTGATTATATTATATGTAGTAGACAAAATTGGTTTTTCAAATTTTTTTTATATTAGAAATAAAAATTTTAAAATCTTTAAAATTATTTATTCTGTCAATTGATTCATGTATTGTTTCCAACTTAATGCAAGTGTGCCAAATTTCAGATAGATTGGACTGGTAGGTACAACCGTAGAAGCAGGCATGGAATACTGGTATATCTAATTGGCAAGCCGCAACTAGATTTTTTTTGAGCCGTGGCTTCATGGGTTTGTCAGCCGTGTTTAAATTTCTTTGAGCCATGGCTTCATGGGTTTGCCAGCCGTGATTCCATTTCTTTGAGCTGTGAATTCCATATCTCGGCCGTGAAAAGCCATATATGACCCATGAACTTGTTATTCACAAAGTCCCATCACTCCCATGCATACAAAGACCCTGGGTAGAAGTGTGTTAAATATCAATTATAAGATTTGTAGCATACAGACAAACAACAAGAAGTGAAGTTAAAGAGAAGTGTTGTATAAATTAACTTGAGGGAGAGTCTAAAGAACTCTGCTTTGCCTCTAAACTATGGTTTGCAGTCTGCAACTGCATTCAAGTGCAGTGACTCTGCTCTACAAAATCTCTGGCACCACAAGTCTTTAACTTTGACTCAAATCTCAATTATAAAAAACTCTTGAGTTTTGGGTGCAATCCTAATTATTTAGCTCAGAGTATGTGCTGCTCTTGCGGTCTTGCTATATGCCCATTCCCAAACATTGCAATAGTTCTCTGAACAAACAGGATTATAATTTTCCCACTTGTTTCTGAAATCTCATGGCTCTGATGTGACGAATATTTAATACAATTGGAACCTTGCGGCCTGATTGCACAATTTTGTTAACAATTAGATAGAAGGTAATTCATCTTGCAGAAATCTTGCAGTTCTGGAAATGCTGGGAAACCTCTAGTTGCAGCCCTAAAGATAGAGGTTTTCCATGCTTGTAAACAAATAGGTTTTGGCCAAAAGGGCAGCCAGGCTGCTCGCTGCTGCATCTTATGATTAAAAATATTGATCTTGTTCCCATTTCCCAGCCCAGCATCTTGAAGTTGAAGGCACTTGGGCAATGATTTGGCATTTTTAAGGCTTTAAATATGCAATTGGCATCATTCACTTTTTATCCATCAAGGTGTGAGTGACCATGGTGGCATTCTAAATTCTTTCTAGATGACCATGTAGCTCTGTAATTGACTAAGTTGAAGGGTGCGGGGGCCAAAAATAGGAGCGCACTTGCTCCAATAGGAGAGGGACCATGAGGATGCGCGCTCCAATACGAGCAGGCCATCAAGCTCTTTCGCTTCTTGAACGAGTAGCACTTTGGCTGTCCTGGTGGACTGCTTTAGTTGCAGATTAGTGGAGTAGATATATCATATGCCTGATAAAAGTCATGATTTGATTTAACTTTATATCATTCACACTCATTCACTTCATTTTCACTGAATTTTTCTTCTTATATATCTATGGCTTAGCAAATGATTTTGTTGCTAGTGTAATTTTTGTCATGGTTGTCAATATATATATGAATTCATGACCTTGAAATGAAGATAAACTCTCAAAAAAATTTGTTGCTGTAAAATTTATTAGCTTATAAACCCAAAAATTCTATAATTGCATGCAAATTAATTTTTTTCATGACTAAATTTAGCTGGATCTTGTTCTTCATTGAAAAATGTTAGCTGACTTGTAAAGAAAGGGACTTTCAATTAAATATGCCATACATATTTGTTCATTATTTAATATATACACTTTTCAAGTTTTAAGTTTCAGATATATCAAATTTGGAAATTTGGACATCTGTTTTACCTAGTGTGTATAAGTATAAATTTATTTTTTAAGATCTCATTACTCACTCATGGAGTTTCATTAACATAACAATTAAATGCAATATAGTTCATTAAAACAGAATTTGGACACATAAGGAATTTTAGTAGCAAAAAGTGGGTTTTTAGTTCCTGTCTTTCTATCATTCTTGGAGTCTAGGTAGAGCACAATGACTGTAAAATTTAGCCTAGCCATTTATCTTCCAGCCAACACTTTAAGTTTACTTTTTCTTAATGAATTACAAAGTGTAAAAATGCTGCTGCTTGATTAAAGTTTTACAGTTTAGTTATTATTATTACAGTTTTACAGTATTATTGTACAGTACTACAGTACAATATTGTACAACAGTACAGTAATACTGTACAGTATGTACAGTATTATTATTACAGTTTAGTTTAGTTATTTTACATGACTTGCTTATTTCCAGAATACAGACAGCTGGTTAATTAAAATTATATATTATCTGAGTTTCTTATTATCAGATTTACTAGAATTAGCCACAATGGGAGATGATCGTGGAGGAGATGGCCAAGCTGCTCCTTCTAAACCTGCCAGTCATACTTTAGTAAGTTTGGTCACTTTCAGGTGCTGTATGAATTGTGTACCTATATTTTAAAATTGATCTTTTTATTATTAATGATAAGATTCTTCTTGTCTTGTGTGGTGTAAGTTTTATCACTTTCAATTGCTGCATGAATTGTTTACCTATATTTTAAAATTGATCTTTTAATTATTAATGATAAGATTCTTCTTGTCTTGTGTGGTGTAGGTTTTATCACTTTCAATTGCTGCATGAATTGTTTACCTATATTTTAAAATTGATCTTGTAATTATTAATGATAAGATTCTTCTTGTCTTGTGTGGTGTAGGTTTTATCACTTTCAATTGCTGCATGAATTGTTTACCTATATTTTAAAATTGATCTTGTAATTATTAATGACAATATTCTTCTTGTCTTGTGTTGTGCAGAATTTGTATGTACTTGGTCATTGGTTTCCCATTGGTCACTTTCAGGTGCCGAATGAATCATTTAAATTTTAAAATTGATCTTGCAATTATTAATGATAAGATTCTTCTTGTCTTGTGTTGTGCAGAATTTGCATGTACTTGGTCATTGGTTTCCCAGAAGTTTTCTCTAAAAGCTCTCATGAACAGAGCCAAATGAATCATTTCAGGTGCCAAATGAATCATTTAAATTTTAAAATTGATCTTGCAATTGTTGAGGATAATATTTATATTGCTAATAAAGAAATATTTTCTATATTAATATTCTAAGAAATATTTTCTATGTTCTATCTATTTCACTTCCACCATCAAGATTCTTCTTGTCTTGTGTGATGCATAATTTCTATGTACTTGGGCATTGGTTTCCCTGAAGTTTTTCTATAAACGCTCTCATGAACAGAGGCATTATAATATCTATCATGAAAGAGACTTGACTAACCTCAATTAAATCAGCCCAAGTTCACAGGCTTTTGGTCAAAGTTTCCAATTACACATTAAATTTTCTTCCTCAGCATGCCAAACGTTTCTCAATAAAATATTTTGATTGAAAGGTTGTTTGTATAAAACTAGTTTTTGTTCTAGCACTTGGTGTTTATATTCATGTGTTTATATTCATGGAATATACCGTAATATATATTTATATATTATATTCCATGTTCGGTCTTCCTATTTTGTACAGTCCCTGATAAACTCTGTGATTTTCAGAAACCAAACTACATATTGAAGTACACCCTCTCTGGTCACTCAAAGGCAATATCTTCCGTCAAATTCAGTCCAACAGGAGAGTGGCTGGCAAGCTCTTGTAAGTAATATAGGTATATGTGTACCCAAAAATGCCTCAGCAGTCATAATGTAATTAACTTTGGCTCTACTGCTACAATAGGGAGTCTGCTTTTCTAAATATTAATACGTATCTATTATCATATAATGCATTGAAATTACCTATATAGATGATCAAATTAGTATTCATTAAATTTTATAAAAAATATTATTTTTTTTGTGAAATATTATTTTCTCTCATTTAGCAAACATGTATTTATTTTATATGATTGTGTTGAAATTTGAATCTGATTAACAAGTTTTTCTGAATCTGATAAACATTTGTTTTTTTTCCTGGCATCTAATGAGCTGTTCAAGATTCCACCTTATTCTCACTGCTACACAAAAGCTATCTAAGATTCTAACTTGTTCTTTCATACTCTCCAGCTACAAAGAAAGAATTTCAAGATACCATCTTTTTCTGCCACACTCTCTCAACTTCAGAAAATTTCATCAAGATTCCACCTTATCCTGCCTTATTCTCTCAGCTGCAGATAAGCTCACTCCACCTTATCTTCTCTTACTCTCAGCTGCAGATAAGCTCATCAAGATCTGGTCTGCCTATGATGGCAAGTTTGAGAAGACGCTCAACGGACACAAGTTGGGTGTAAGTGATGTGGCCTGGTCACACGATGGGCGCCTTCTCTGCTCTGCATCAGATGACAAGACCGTCAAGATGTGGGAGCTTGCATCTGTAATTATGTGTTCAAAGTTCTTGTTGACATATATGGTGCTATTTAGTTCTCATATTTATTATCCAGAAAAAGGTTCAACTTGATAAAAATAATTCTATATCGTGTCCAGCAAAGCAATTTCTATCTCTAAGTCTAGAATAAATGTCCTGTCATTATTACATTGAACATTTCATTTTCTTATTCTATTTGACTTTATTTGATTTGTGTTCCACTTAATATCTCATTCTGCCTTGACTTTATTTGATTTATGTTCCACTTATTATCTCCATATTTATATTTTTTATATCACGCTGACCTGAAAAATTGCACATTATTTTTCTTACTGTTTTTCTCATGTCTAGCTATTTCTGCTCATGGCCTTAGATAAATTTTGTACTTTAATGTATGCCTAATTCTACCTTTCATTCGTGACATTATTATATACTTAAAAGTATTTTATGCAAGTAGTATGATTGAAGACCAGCGCATGCTTTTTATTAACATCAATACTCCATTATCTGTGAGACTTATCCATTATCTGTGAGACTTAAAGTGCATTAAAAAATTAGTCCTAGGATTAATGCTGCAATTGATGATATTTTTGCCACAATACATAAAGAAAATATGTGTATTACTTAGTTGGATTTTTTCACATGCATTTGTTTTCAATTAGAAATCACTGTTAAATATTATTTTTATTTACAGGGCAAGTGTGTGAAAACCCTGAAAGGTCACAGCAACTATGTCTTCTGCTGCAATTTTAATCCCCAGTCTAACCTCGTTGTTTCGGGTTCGGTGAGTACATCAGCAGAGAAAATTATTTCAACTTCAGTCAACTGGTTCTTTATCTGTGATGATTTATTCACCTTCAGTTACTGAACTGGTTCTTGATCTGTGATGAATTAGTCACCTTCAGTTCCTGAACTGGTTCTTGATCTGCGATGATTTAGTCACCTTCAGTTCCTGAACTGGTTCTTGATCTGTGATAATTTATTCACCTTCAGTTCCTGAACTGGTTCTTGACCTGTGTTAATTTATTCACCTTCAGTTCCTGAACTGCTTCTTGATCTGTGATGATTTATTCACCTTCAGTTCCTCAACTGGTTCTTGATCTGTGATAATTTATTCACCTTCAGTTCCTTAACTGATTCTTGATCTGTGATGATTTATTCACCTTCAGCTCCTGAACTGGTTCTCAATTTTTAATAACTTATTTATCTTCAGTTCGATGAGTCGGTGCGCGTTTGGGACATCAAGACTGGCCGTTGCTTGAAAACATTGCCAGCTCACAGCGACCCTGTCAGTGCTGTGAACTTCAACAGAGATGGCACCCTCATTGTCTCCAGCTCTTATGATGGGCTCTGGTTGGTACCAATATGCTATCAAAATTGATAGCAATATACTATCAATTTTGGTGCTAATATGCTATCAAAATTGCCCTGTTATTATTTGCTACAATAATTTTTAGAGCAAAGCAAGTAGGGCTTGAACAACTCACACTTTGAATTTTATAAACGAGATAAGTCTTTGATTACAAGTTTGATGAAAAATGTAGCCTACGTTCATATAAAAGAATTTTCATATTAATTTGAACTCTATTTTTCCAGACTTGAGTTGCTTTAAGATCAATTCCAAATTACGTATTTGATGTTATCATTTATTCTTGTGCGTTGATACCTACATCGGAGATGTGTCTCTCGGCGAATAAATTGCCTGTTCTCAGTACCTACTTAGAAGACGAAAATATAGAAGAATTTTATATAATGAATGTAATTCATTATAATTTATATTTGTGTTCGTCACTGAAGACAGCAAATAAAACTACCGAAATCCTAGTAGAATTTTAAATACTGACAGTAATTTATTGAAATTTATATTTTTGTTTGTCACTGAAGACTAGCAAATAAAACTACCGAAATCCTAGTATCATTTTAAATACTGAATGTAATTTATTGAAATTTTTATTTTTGTTCCTCACTGAAGACCAGCAAATAAAACTACCTTAATCCTAACTAATTTATCACAATTGCAGTCGCATCTGGGATACGTCATCTGGCCAGTGTCTGAAGACACTGATAGATGACGACAATCCACCTGTTTCCTTTGTCAAATTTTCACCCAACGGCAAGTACATTCTGGCAGCAACTCTAGACAACACCCTGAAGCTCTGGGACTACAGTAAAGGCAAATGCCTTAAGACTTACTGCGGCCACAAGAACGAAAAATACTGCATTTTTGCCAATTTTTCAGTGACTGGAGGCAAGGTGAGAAATTTTAATGGTTAAGTTGGCATCAAGTCCCGACTTGAGTGTGAAGAATGTGTTCGGTTTAGTAGGCATCACTTGAGTGTGAAGAATGTGTACGGTTTAGTAGGCATCAAGTCCCGACTTGAGTGTGAAGAATGTGTACGGTTTAGTATGCATCAAGCCCCGACTTGAGTGTGAAGAATGTGTACGTTTTAGTAGGCATCAAGTCCCGACTTGAGTGTGAAGAATGTGTACGGTTTAGTATGCATCAAGTCCCGACTTGAGTGTGAAGAATGTGTACGGTTTAGTATGCATCAAGTCCCGACTTGAGTGTGAAGAATGTGTATGGTTTAGTATGCATCAAGTCCCGACTTGAGTGTGAAGAATGTATTCGGTTTAGTATGCATCAAGTCCCGACTTGAGTGTGAAGAATGTGTACGGTTAAGTGTGCATCAAGTCCTGACTTGAGTGTGAAGAATGTGTACGGTTAAGTATGCATCAAGTCCTGACTTGAGTGTGAAGAATGTGTACGGTTTAGTATGCATCAAGTCCTGACTTAAGTGTGAAGAATGTGTTTGGTTTAGTAGGCATCAAGGCCCGACTTGTGTGTGACGTATGTGTACGGTTAAGTATGCATCAAGTCCCGACTTAAGTGTGAAGAATGTGTACGGTTTAGTATGCATCAAGTCCCGACTTGTGTGTGAAGTATGTGTACGGTTAAGTATGCATCAAGTCCTGACTTGAGTGTGAAGTATGTGTACGGTTAAGTATGCATCAAGTCCTGACTTGAGTGTGAAGAATGTGTACGGTTTAGTATGCATCCCGACTTGAGTTTGAAGAATGTGTACGGTTTAGTATGCATCAAGTCCCGACTTGAGTGTGAAGAATGTGTATGGTTTAGTATGCATCAAGTCCCGACTTGAGTTTGAAGAATGTGTACGGTTTAGTATGCATCAAATTCCGACTTGAGTTTGAAGAATGTGTACGGTTTAGTATGCATCAAATCCCGACTTGAGTGAACAGCACTCGGCAATGAGTGTCTTATGCTCTTATCACTTCATAGATGTTAATGTTCGTTAAATGTATTGTGTCCGGTGATGAGAAAAATTTCCTTGCAATTATTTTATTAATTATTATACATTAAACTTCCCATCTTTAAATTATTTTTTACTCTGTTTATGTACCATTCATGTTAAGATATTGTTTTCATCGCCAATGCAAAGGTTTCACGGCTGCCGGCATTTTAATGAATATTTTTCTACTTTTGATCGTTGATACTTGAACGTTCAGTTCAAACTATCAGTTCAATTCAAACATTAAACATTATTTTCTTTTATGTTCAGTGGATTGTTTCTGGAAGTGAAGACAATCTCATCTACATCTGGAACCTGCAAACCAAGGAAGTTGTGCAGAAACTGGAAGGACACACTGGTAATGAAAGTTATTTTATTGCACCTTTTTTTGAAAAATTACTATTTGTTTAAATTCAAATACTAATTACTAATACATTGAAACTTGAGTGCAAAAGTGCTGATTTTGTGGGGGTTATAAACAGCCTTGGTTCAAAACGCAAAATATTTATTAAGAAAAACGCTACCTACATCGAGCTTATGCATGCTAATTAGCAATCATATTTATAAATTACTGAATTTTTGAAAGAAAAACATTATAATTTATCAATTGACTCGCTTATCAACATGGGCAAAAGCATATTTATAGTTATTGTCTTGGTGAAGAAGAGAACTGAGTTCTTTTTGTGAATGGTTTATTTGCGGTTGCACTATCAATTTCTCAAACCACTAACTTTTGGTTCTGTTTGTAAGCATTAATAGTTAAGTCCAATGACTTCATTTTACAGAGCCTAACTTGTATGTATGACAAATCAGGTGCAATTCTTCCCGGTGAAAATTGAAGAACTTATAATTGAAAATTTTTGTTCGAGAATTAGCTAAGCAGTTGTTTACGATTAATCGGACTAATATTCCTAGTATATATAAAACTAAAAGTAACCAACTTCAAGCAAATATTTTGTCATGTTTTGTATTCAAGGAAAAGATGCAAATCTAATAAAAAATATTGTATGTCGAAAATGCTTATAATATTTTCTAATTTCAAATTTAAATTTTGATGCTTCAAGCTAAAGATGTAAAATTTATAACTCTATAGGTGTTTTATGGATTTATATTTTAACGAGTAATGTATTTGATAATGCTATATAGGTATTAATAGAGTCTTATTATATTATTTATTAATTGAAGACTTCATTGGATTATTATATTAATGGAAACTTCATTTTTGTATCAAATCCGTGAAGACTTATTATAATTTTATTAGTATATATTAATAGAAACTTGATTGAATTGTTGTATTAATTGATATTTCATTTAATTGTTCGATAAAGTAAGATTTCATTGTATCATTTTATAAACGGAGACTGTACAGAAATATTATTGCAAATATTGTTAATTATTGTATTTATCAAATCCTGATAACATTAATATAAATTAATATACATTACAGACGTGGTGCTATGCACAGCCTGCCACCCGACACAGAACATCATCGCTTCAGGGGCCCTCGAGAACGACAAGACGATCAAGCTCTGGAAAAGCGATACTTAGCATTTGTATCATCAAATTTTTTATTTCACTAGTGTCATGTGTCTGTAGCTGGATACTTTTGTTTCTCATATTTCAGCGCTTTTGTATCATCAAATTTTTTATTTCACTTACAAGTGTTCAGTGTCACCGTAGCTGGATACTTAATTTCTCACGTTTAAGCTCTTTTGTATCTTTGAATTTTTTGTCTCGCTTAAAAGCGTTCAGTGTTACCATAGCTGGATACTTTGTTTCTCATATTTCAGCGCTTTTGTATCATCAAATTTTTTATTTCACCTACAAGTGTTATGCGTCACCGTAGCTGGATACTTCGTTTCTCACGTTTCAGCTCTTTTGTATCTTTGAATTTTTTTATCTCACAAGTGTAATGTGTTACCATAGCTGGATACTTAGTTTCTCACGTTTAGGCTCTTTTGTACCTTTGAATTTTTTTATCTCACTTACAAGTGTAATGTGTTACCATAGCTGGGTACTTAGTTTCTCACGTTTCCGCGCTTTTGTACCTTTGAATTTTTTTATCTCACTTACAAGTGTAATGTGTTACCGTTGCTGGATACGTTGATTCTCACGTTTCCGCGCTTATGTACCTTCGATTTTTTTTATCTCTTACAAATGCTATGTGTCACCATAATACTTTGTTTCTCACGTTTCAGCTCATTTGTACCTTCAATTTTTTATTTCACTTACAAGTGTAATGTGTCACCGTAGCTGGATACTTTGTTTCTCACGTTTCTTGTGCTTCAAATTTTGATCTCGCTACAACATTTATTGCTCAGCCTTTTTCGGTGTCTTATTCTTTATTAGAAATGTAAAAATATCGATTTATATTGAAGTATTTTTTATAAAAAATGCCGTTAAAGAATCCAGTTGATTTGTTCTGCCTTGTGTGTGTTTTCTGACAAATTCATTGATTTTTTATTTAATGCCGGGTTTGTCAGGGTTTTTAAAGACTCTCTAAAATTAACGATTAAAATCTTTCTGAAAGATGAGACTAAGGGTACGCACTGTGGATATTCTAATTGATATCTAAAAGATCTGATGTGCTTCCATTATTAATTTTTGAACCGATTAGATGATTTCCAGTGATTTTGACAACATATATTCGTTGTATTACGTTGAACTTAATCTCATTTGTGTTAATGAGAACGTGTGTGAGAATAGTGTTATGTTTTTCTATTTGTATTCCGTCTCATATGCAGTTATGAATGTCTTAGTAAAAGTAGTATTTGATATCATTGATATGATTTTGCTATCAAGTCCTGCAATGACGTACGATTATAACTTAAGGATAAGTTTTATTATATTGATGTATTTACCTGAAATTAACTTCGATCAGCATTTTTTTTATAACATAAGAGTTAGGTGAGAAACTAGCTTATAAGAGGTCAGGTTAAATACGATTTTGGCTATCAAAATTCCCGGTCTGTCACTGGAAATGTATAAATTTTCTATTGAAACTCAATAGTGATTCAGTTACAGGAATTTTTACGCGCCGAAAAACTTCTACTAAAGCTTTGTCATGACAATGAATGATAAACGGTGCTTACCTCACGTTTTGGATTCAATTCTTTGAATCAAAGCATTGAATCCTTATTGATTTGTTGAATAAAAGTCATGAGTTGCATCTTGTAATGACAGCTGTTCATACATAAATTGAAATAGAAAATATTTCAAAATTTTTGTTTGATTTCAACGGAAAATGATGTTAAAAGAAAGACGGAACTAGCAAATTCAAAATGAGCTTAAAACCGCGCACCAGGTATACGGATAACCGTCTTAGCCGTTTTCGACACTGTTTTCAAGAAACTGTAGGAAATGTTCGTAGAAAAGATTCTGTTGTACGGTATACCAAAATAGAAATCCCATTTTATTAATTTATTACTGTTTGCTTTTTTCAGAGTATCGTTTCGTAGAATTAACCGCTAGATTGGAACTTCCAACGATGAATATTGTCTAACCATGAACCATCTATAAGCATGTCATAACATCCACTTTAAAGGTCAACATCGTTAACTCTAACAATCTATAAGCATGTCATAACATCCACTTTAAAGGTTAACATCGTTAACTCTAGCATAATGGCTTTCACCATCGCTTTTATCTTCTTGGCTTCGCCCATCGTCTCCGTAGCCATGCATGCCTGTTGTGTTCTTGTAGGATTTTCTGCCCATTGAACTGAACTCAATAGACGAAGACGAGACGTTGTCGTCTGGCCATAACATCCACTTTAAAGGTTAACATCGTTAACTCTAGCATAATGGCTTTCACCATCGCTTTTATCTTCTTGGCTTCGCCCATCGTCTCCGTAGCCATGCATGCCTGTTGTGTTCTTGTAGGATTTTCTGCCCATTGAACTGAACTCAATAGACGAGGACGAGACGTTGTCGTCTGCATAGCGCTGCTTGAGTCGCCGCAGACGTTCCCGCTTCTCGGAGCTGCAGAGCTCACGGCGCATGCGCGGGGCGTGAAACAGAAGAACTGCTACCACCACCACCACGCCCAGGACGATACCGAGCTGTCATGTTTTCCAAAATTAAAATGTTTGCAATAATTAAAATACTTAATTCAGCCAAAACACAGACCATGCAGAGCTCATGGCGCATGCGCGGGGCGTGGAACAGTAGCACTGCTACCACCACCACTACGCCCAGGACTATACCGAGCTGTGATGTTTTCCATACTTATAATACTCAATTCAGCCAAAACACAGACCAATTTAGATTAAAGCAAGAAATTTATCAAACACTTAACCCTCTACCGCCTGACATCAGTAACCGGAGCAATTTTGTCACAAGTCTACTTCCCAAAAAGAATACGTTCTAGTGAGCGTAAAATGACTTGCACTGATGATTGCCGCCACGTACGACAACTTTAAAATGTTCTCTGTTGCGTACAAACGTCCTCAGGTTGCTACACTCAACAGTTTACGTATAATTTGCCGCCACGTACGACAACTTTAAAATGTTCTCTGTTGCGTACAAACGTCCTCAGGTTGCTACACTTAATAGTTTACTTATAATTTAAGTTGAAAGTTATTTTCCCGAAGAGTGACATGTGGCGGTAGAGAGTTAATACATAGTTAAATTAAAAATGGATTAGGAAAGAAAAAGTCGACTAAAATTTAGCTTAATTTGATTGTATATTCCACTTTGCAACTATAGAATTGAAATACTCAAGGAACGGCTGGAATTTTGCCGTACATAAGTGTAATGTATTAAGGATACGAAGCCTAAAAGCATATAACTGACCTGCATCATAGAAGTGAACGCAGAACTGTCGGTCGCGGCGTCTGTGCCTGTGAATGTGCTGTTGTCTGGGGCGTCGGCTGACAATGTCGGGCTTACCAGCAACTCTCCAACACCAACTTCAAGCACACTGCCCGGGGAAAAAAATAAAATAAAATAAAATTAAAACTTTGGATAAAAGAATGACCTTCAAATAAGAGCGTTCGGTGATAAGGGTTCAGAAGTCAAAAATTAATCAAGTTGGATCTTACCAAGGCTACATCTGATTTTCCCTTCTACCAGAAAAACAAAGGTCAGAGTACTTCTACTGTGATTTTTCCTGTAAATTAAATGAATTGCATGAATAGCGGTAACGTCCCATACATTCGTAGACTGTTTGTTCTCGGTTAGGCAAATGAACTACATGAATGGCGGTAACATCCCATACATTCGTAGGCTGTTTGTTCTCGGTTAGACAAATGAACTACATGAATGGGGGCAACATCCCATACATTCGTACAGACTTTGTTTTCGGTTAGACAAATGAATTACCTGAATGGGGGCAACATCCCATACAGACTTTGTTTGTTCTCAGTTAGACAAATGGACTACATGGAGGGCCATAACATCCCATACTTTGACTTTGTTTCCAGTTAGACAAATGAACTACCTGAATGGCGGTAATACCCCATACATTCGTTCAGACTTTTTTCAGACGAATGGACTACATGAATATCGTTGACATCCCATACATTCGTACAGACCTTGTTCTTAGTTAGACAAATGAACTACCTGAATGGCGCTAACATCCCACACATTCGTACAGACTTTGTTCCCAGTTAGACAAATGAACTACCTGAATGGGGGCAACATCCCATACATTCGGTCAGACTCTGTTTGTTTTCAGTTAGAGAAATGAACTACCTGAATGGGGGCAACATCCCACACATTCGTACTGACTTTGTTCTCAGTTAGACAACTGAACTACCTGAATGGCGGTAACATCCCACACATTCGTACAGACTTTGTTCTCAGTTAGTCAAATGAACTACCTGAATGGGGGCAACATCTCATACATTCGTACAGACTCTGTTTTCAGTTAGAGAAATGAACTACCTGAATGGGGGCAACATCTCTTGTAGGCTTTGTTTGTCGGCGCTCGCCTTCTTCACGAACGTTACGAGGGCGTCTAGCAGTGCTCCTCCAGTTCGATGGCCCCACACTCTGCTGTCACCATCTGGATCGTCTGCTTTATTGTCCAACTTTGCGTCGCGTGAGGTTCCATTGGTAGGCGTCATATGTCCTTCGTCTTTCTCATCGATGATGTTAGGAGTCTTGTTCCTAATAATTGGACCAGAGAGATTTGGAGCAAAATTCATATCATTCTCCTGATTAAAATTTAACTGATGTTCGTCTTCGAAGCTGTGGAGTTCGGCAGCAGTTTCGTCACCACCAATCACTCTTCTTCCAATATTAATATTTTTTCTGATCAAAACACTTCCTGAAGATCCATCGTTCTTGCCAATGTCTCCTAAAATCCCTTGCTTTGCGTTTTTCGAATTTCCATTTTCTTCGGTTGTCAATGAAGTGGAGTTGGTCGAAGCTGAATTATTCTCTGGTTTGGATTTTCCAAAGTTCTGTACTGTAGAAACTTCATCATTCGAACTTTGTTCTGAAATATCCATAGGAATGAAATAAACCCCATCTGGATAAGTCAGTGACGAACTCTTTCCAGAAATGGTACTATTTACTTGAACATCTGCAGGTGTTACGGTCACCACAGCATCGTCTGGACGTGGGGTTGTACCGTAATTTCCTGGCTGCGATTGTGGGAACGGGCCAAAATTCTTGAAAAATGGATTTTGTTCAAAACGAGGACGTCCGAAAGTATCTTTCATCCCTATTCCTTCCTCAATAATACTCTTTGGTGTCGTGTACTGAATATAAGTAATCGGAATCTTACTCGAAAGCGAGTGGATTGCTTCAAACAAATTCACGGCTTCAGGTTCTTCATGCTGGAAGTTTTGTAAGTTTGAACTATGAATGCTACTTGCATATTGGTACACGTCTTGATGTCCAGGAAGGTTCGAAATGGCCTTTGAATTTAATTTTTCATTGTCGGGGCTCTCCGTATCCTCTCGTTTACTTGAAACAGCCGCAATATTTCCGTGCGATCCACTCGGCTGTGGGATACTGTGCATTGATGAAGGTGGAGTATGTTTATCATTTTCGTCACGAAAGTTAGACAGGGGCGTTCCACTTTGAAACGACAATTTTTCAAAATTTTCCTTATTTCGCACCGTATGTGGATTTGTGACCGGAGTCTTGTGTTGTTTAGTGACAGCATCTCGTTCCGTGAACGTGTATCTGGCTGTATCTCGGCTCGGTATTCTGGTATCGATATTTATTCCTGACGCGGAGGAGTAGCTTGTCATTTTGTGATGCACTGCTGATGGATGTTTCAAATTTCTGAGACCTGAATCTAACTTTGAAAACGTTTGAACATGAAAAGACGTAGGAGCGTTTATTGGAGTCATCGGTTCGTTAATTTGCAAATGTACCTCTTGGTTCGAATGACGTGTAGAATCAACTGTTGCTAGTTGTGGCAGAGGTCGCATGGACTGATCGTCTGATATGTGGCTAAGCCGCTTTGAGTAGCGAGTGGTAAGAGCTGTGTTGTTGATTATTTCATCGTTGGTAAGTTTACCATCTTGACGGTAGGAATTTTGCAGCCTGCGAATCTCAGTTTGTGGTTGGCCTTGGCTTCGTGTATAAGATGAGTGATCGTTGAATCCCTCATTGATTTCATGTCTATTTGATGAGTGTTCCCATGGAGTGCCATACAACTGAATATTTCTCTGGACATTTGAATGTTCTTCATTATTTCCTATGCCGTGATCACTAGTTTTGAGCCCCGTGATGGACGAGAAACCTCCCGATTTTTGGTTCATCTCTCTTTCAGCAGTAATATATTTATTGTTTTCAAGGACAAAGTTGATATAATTTTTCTTTTCAGTAATTGGACTTTCGTCGAAACTACTTCCTTGTGTCTCGTGCAATTGTTCATGGCGCCCAATTAGTCCTTCATGATCGCCCTTGCTGGAATCGAACCATCCGTCCTTATTTCCAGTAGAATGATCTTCCCATGAAACATTGTCTCTATTGTTATGATCATTGCCATTTGAAAATCCATGCCAATTTCCTGTCTTGATAAAAGGATTGTATACTTCTTGTTTTCCAAAAATTTGTGCACGTTGGTCCTGTTCACGGTCAGAATTCATGTTGTCTTGACCAGATATGCCTGTCCGTAAACCCTCATGACCAACTTCTCTGTAATTGCCATGTTTTTTCTCATCATCCCTCCATTGGATATTGGTTGGACTTACACTGCGGAAATGGTCACGAGATTCTTCAATGGTACCTTGCTCACCGCTGTCACGGAACATTGTTTCAATGTTCTCAAAACTCGGGTTTGAAACGGCTGGGCCATTGTGGTCAATTCTTCGGTTACTATGATTTGTAGATTCAATTCGTAAAAAACCTGGATTGGAATGTTCGGTATCCTCTCGATTGGGATGAAGAGGATCTCGTTCCATATTGCCGTGGTTTTGGAACCTATTCGAAAAATTGTCGCCCTCTCGAAAATGTCCTCGAACCCTACTGACTTCCCCCGGTAGATTTCCTCTGTGCAGCCCTAGATTCTGATAGTTATTTTCATGGAGGGACATTTCGTTGTCTTTTCGGCCTTCCATATTTCCTTGATTATTTTCATTTGGGTTCTGATGAGAAGATGATTCATAAGCAGAAAATTCCTTTTGTTTTCCCTCGCGCGTTCCGAAATCATGTTCTCTGCTGCTAGGCTTAGTGCTGTACGTTCTTATACCGTCGACTTCAATGTGGGTTGTTGTGTGGGTGGGCTGAAGCAATGTTGGGTGGGGTGAAACAATATTGGGTGATTTTTGGTTCTCTGAATGGCTTTCTTCGCGGGGCGCAGGCTGTACAACTTCAGTATCAGCGCCTCCAACCCAAGTGGCTTTGATGGGAGTAGCGGGGACGAGGAGAAAGTGAGGGCTCTGAGAGAAAAATTCAAGAATATTGTAGTAAAGGTTTAAGATTAGTCGAGTGATCAGGATCAAATGAATTAATAGGTGCTGATTTAAAAATATCAACAATAATTCAAGGATAAATTAGGTTGGAAAAAATATGATCGCGATACAAACAATCCCCTGAAAGTTGATGTTTTTAAGGATTATATAATAGGGTGAGGCATTTCTTCATCCTACATTTACACACAACAGAGATTTTTAACTCGCTTCACGCCGATAAAAAGCAGGATTTTACGATAGAAATTGATATAAATTTTCTTTTAAGATTATAGAATCGTCGAAAATGTTTTCGTCCTTCTAAGGTAGCTAAACATATTTCTGGTCAGTATTACATTCTTTTTATTGATTTGTGGCGATTTATGTAATGTTTACGGTAGAACATAGGAGAATATTTGGTTGACAAAAATTCTGCTCCGAAACTGAATGAAATTCAAACCATGAGTCATCTCCTACAAGTGAAAATTATATTTATATTTTTGTTTCTATGTTTAATAGGAAGTTCCACACGACTGTTTGTTAATAAACTTACGACTCCGAAATTAGAAAAAATAGTTAGAGTTTCAAACCAGCAACCAACTGTTTTCAAAATTCACGGCGAAATGTGGTAAGTGGTCGGGTGGTTTATAATCGGCAAGATGCTACAGGACCTAATTAACGCTTATACTACTATATTTTACAATATTATTTAAAGTGGTCGTTTTGCTCACTTTGGAGTTTGAGACCATCTCTCGCCATTCCAGAGGCCCCAATGGAGTCAATAGCAATTGTTGAGGCAGGTTCACCGGTAGCTCACCATTTCTTCGTTCAAATTGAGAAGCTTTAGTCGTTTTGTCATGATTAGTTCGATCCGAACGAACCGATCCAACTTCTTTTTCGATGTCAGCATTTGTCCTTTCTTTCGGCTCATCGACTTTGGAAGATATTTCAGCGTTCTGAATGTTGACGATCCTAGCAATGCTTGTACCTTGTTTATGTCTCCTAGGGGTAACATTTTGCTGTGCATTATTTCTCCGGACTTGTGCGGATGTTCTTTGTTTTCTGTTGTTCCTTTCGCCATTGTTGCTGCTTCTTCTGGCTGTTCCTGATTTATCTTGACCATAGTAAAAATCTGGAAGAGTCATTATTTGTAGGTATTAACGAATGGATTAGGTTTTAACTTTGTAAATTAGGGGTCAATGATATAAATTTTTACTAATGGATTGGTTTTTACCTTTGTAAATTAGGGTCAATGAAATAAATTTATCTTTTACTTATGAGCAAATGGTTTTGAAAAATAAGTAATTATTACTGATTCCGAGATAGTAAAATTAAATTAGTTCCATTTTAGCTAAAAATGCAAGATAAAATATTTCCTGAAGCATGATTGAATAAAAAATGTTCATATTGATATAAACTTTAGAGTAAAATTTCAAGTGGAAATTTTTTTGAAGGCTCGGCTTCCAATGATATTTATTAGAATATAAATTGAGTTTACCTCAATTTCTACTCGTCACTTACCACTCGATTTCTATTTGTCACTTATTACTCAATTTCTACTCGTCACTTACTGCTCAATTTCTACTCGTCACTTATACTACTCAATTTCAACTCGTCACTTACTACTCAATTTCTACCCGTCACTTACTACTCAATTTCTACTCGTCACTTACTACTCAATTTCTACTCGTCACTTACTACTCAATTTCTACTCGTCACTTACTACTCAATTTCTACTCATCACTTACTACTCAATTTCTACTCGTCACTTATACTTCTCAATTTCAACTCGTCACTTACTACTCATCTCCTACTCAATTTCTACCCGTCACTTACTGCTCAATTTCTACTCGTAACTTTCTATTCAATTTCTCCTACTCAATTTCTACCCGTCACTTACTACTCAATTTCTACTCGTAACTTTCTATTCAACTTCTCCTACTCAATTTCTACTCGTCACTTACTACTCAATTTCTACTCGTCACTTACTGCTCCATTTCTACTCGTCACTTACTGCTCAATTTCTACTCATCACCTACTACTCAATTTCTACTCGTCAGTTACTACTCAATTTCTACTCGTCACCTTCTGCTCCATTTCTACTCTTCACTTACTGCTCAATTTCTACTCGTCACTTACTACTCAATTTCTACTCGTCACTAACTGCTCATGTAATTTCTACTCGTCACTTACTACTCAATTTCTACTCATCACTTACTACTCAATTTATACTCGTAACTTACTACTCAGTACTCAATTTCTACTCGTCACTTGCTACTCAATTTCTACTCGTAACTTACTACTCAATTTCTACTACTCCTTTCCTACCGTCACTCACTACTCAATTTCTACCCGTCACTTACTACTCAATTTCTACTTGTCACTTACTACTCAATTTCTACTCGTAACTTTCTATTCAATTTCTCCAACTCAATTTCTAATCGTCACTTACTACTCAATTTCTACTCATCACTTACTACTCAATTTCTACTCTTAACTTACTACTCACTTTCTACTCGTCACTTACTACTCAATTTTTACTCGTCACTTACTACTCAATTTCTACTCATCACTTACTACTTAATTTCTACTCGTAACTTTCTATTCAATTTCTCCTACTCAATTTCTAATTGTCACTTACTACTCAATTCTACTTATCACTTACTACTCAATTTCTACTCGTAATCTACTACTCAATTTCTACTAGTCACTTACTACTCAATTTCTACTCATCACTTACTACTCAATTTCTACTCGTCACTTACTACTCAATTTCTACTCGTAACTTACTACTCAATTTCTACTCATCACTTACTACTCAATTTCTACTCATCACTTACTACTCAATTTCTACTCATCACTTACTACTCAATTTCTACTCGTCACTTACTTCTACTCGTCACCTACTACTCATTTTCTACTCGTAACTTTCTATTCAATTTCTCCTACTCAATTTCTTCTCATCGCTTCCTACTCAATTTCTACCCGTCACTTACTACTCGATTTCTACTCGTAACTTTGTATTTAATTTCTCCCACTCAATTTCTACTCATCACTTACTACTCAATTTTTACTCATCACTTACTACTCGATTTCTACTCGTAACTTTCTATTCTATTTCTCCTACTCAATTTCTACTCATCACTTACAACTCTATTTCTGCTCAACACTTACTACTCGATTTCTACTCGTAACTTTCAATTCTATTTCTCCTACTCAATTCCTACCCGTCACTTACTTCTGTCTTCCAGGAAAAGGGAGCCCACATCGACCGAGGGCAGCGGGGGCAGTTGATGAAATTGGGGGAAGTTTGTATTCAGTTTGGGGAGAGGCGTGCCTCCCACACGCAGGGTCAGCTCCGTCACGGGGAATGAAAATGCCATTTTCGGTCATGAAAATGCCATTTTCGGTCATGAAATGGCCATTTTCGGTCATCCAAAAAATGTACTAAGCTTATATCTTCAGGCGTTTATGCTTAGGTGAAAAAAAACCTGAAATTTATTTTTCAAGTTTTTTATGTTCGGGAGTCACATTCCATGGTATTCAAGTTTGAAACATGGCATCACTAAATAAGTTTTGAGAATATTTCTGCAAAAAATATTAATAATATAATAATAATGATAATGAAATATTATTAAATAATAACAAATAATAAATAAAATAACGATCGAACGCTACGGTAAATATTTGCGTCGGCAACGAATTTTAATGTATAAACAGTAGTGAATCTAGTGAAAATACTCTATTTAAATTTTCAAAGACCAACAATAAAAAATTATTGAATTCCGAAAATTTTGTAACAGAAATACTTTTTAGTAAGCTTTAGTTTCTGTATACATTTACCATCGTCAAAGCTATTCTCATGTTAATCCTTTGTCGGTAGAGTTACAGTCTTTAGATGAAATGTTAAGAATACAACACTTGCAGAAATTGGGTTCGACTTACCGTCTACAATGCCTTGTTCAGGCATTAGACGAAAGGTTAAAAATGCAACCATTTGCAGAAATGGGGTTCGACTTACCGTTTACTAAGCCTCGTTCAAGCATTAGACGAAAGGTTAAAAATGTAACCATTTGCAAAAATGGGATTCAACTTACGGTTTAAAAAGCCTCGTTCAGGCTTTAGGGTTTAGACGAAAAGTTAAAAATGCAACCATTTGCAGAAATAGGGTTCGACTTACCGTTTACAAAGCTTCGTTCAAGCTTTAGACGAAAAGTTAAAAATGCAACCACTTGCAGAAATGGGATTCGACTTACCGTTTAAGAAGCCTCGTTCAAGCATTAGACGAAAAGTTAAAAATGCAACCATTTGCAAAAATGGGTTTCGACTTGCCGTTTACAAAGCCTTGTTCAAGCATTAGACGAAAAGTTAAAAAAACAACACTTGCAGAAATTTGGTTCGAGTTACCGTTTACAAAGCCTTGTTCAAGCAACGCCTGAGAGGTACGTCCAAAAATACCAACGCTCGCAAACAGACAACAGTTACAGACGACCGCGACGGTCATTTGTCACGCCATCTGTTGTCTTCATGAACGCTTGCAGAGAGTTTCATATCTCACCGTTACCTTACCATCGAGGTGTACAGTTACTCGAGTTGGTAATCACTGCCGAGTGTTATGGAGATATCACCTCTTGGATGTTATAAGATTAATAATAGTTATGTAATGCTGGTACCGACACTTCTATTCTATTCTAATGGTGAAATGAAAATTATACGAGTGATACGTAATGCACATGCGTCAGATGTAAAGTAATGTTTGGAAAAGGTATATCATTTATCAAAGTTTCGCATATAACTTTTCATATGTCATATCAGGATGATTCTGAACGCGGTTCAATTTGTTTTGAAATTTTGGATGAACTTGCAACTTAGTCAGACTATTTATTTAAGTACTTTGATGATATCATGCATTATGATTCGGTTCTTTTTCATTCGGTTTAAATTGTTTTTTAAGTATGAGTCGTCAATCGTGTAACCCATAAAAATCGTATCATTTCAATCAAAGTAATTCATCGTGAAGTGAGTGTTAGGCTGCATAAAAATTTGATGTGATTACCATGCTTGGAACCTTCTAGCAATCTCCCTATCCGACACACAGTTGATACTGAATTAAAAGTTACATGCTACGTTTGAGTATGCAGATTTTTCTATGGAGGGCTAATAAAGATAAAACACATTACAGCTCACATTTTAATGGCATACTCACTAGCAAATAATCTTTTTCTGGTAAATATTTTCATTACTGGAAACATTTTCCTCACGACTACAGTCCTCACCGCTACAGTCACCGTATTCACCGCCGCAGCCACCGTATTCACCGCCGCAGTCACCGTATTCACCGCCGCAGTCACCGTATTCACCGCCGCAGCCACCGTTTATATTCACCGCCGCAGTCACCGTATTCACCGCCGCAGCCACCGTATTCACCGCCGCAGCCACCGTATTCACCGCCACAGCCACCGTATTCACCGCCACAGCCACCGTATTCAACGCCACGACCAGTGTTCTCAACGGCAGCGTAATGCGCAACAGTAGTAATACGGTGACCAGGATAGCGGCCAATAGTAGTCATACGGTGACTAGGATAGTGCCCAATAGTAGTAATACGGTGACCAGAATAGTGCCCAATAGTAGTAATATGGTTACCAGAATAGCGGCCAATAGTAGTAATACGGTGACCAGGATAGCGGCCAATAGTAGTCATACGGTGACCAGGATAGTGCCCAATAGTAGTAATACGGTGACCACGATAGTGTCCAACAGTAGTAATACGGTGACCAGGATAGCGGCCAACAGTAGTAATACGGTGACCTGAATAGCGGCCAACAGTTGTAATACGGTGACAGGATAGGGCCAAATAGTAGTAATACGGTGACCAGGATAGTGCCCAACAGTAGTAATTAATACGGTAACCAGGATAGCGACCAACAGTAGAAATACGGTGACCAGGATAGCGGTCAATAGTTGTAATACGGTGACCAGGATAGCGGACAAGATACAAAAAAATCGGTAATAATTTACTAACTTTACTCTCCTTTAAAACGTCACTTCGAATTCTCTGAGCGAGCGGACATTCAGTAATGGAAGCATCTATATTATATATAGGCACTACGAGCAGCAAAACTTGAGGCCACAATCAACATCCAAGGCCCAAACATCGCTGGCGACAATGATGAGTCTGGTCCTTGGTTCTCCATGGTTCGTCATGGACCTGTCCTGAACACGGCGATCATTCCCTTACTGTAATCGCTTATCTTCAGTTAATCGCAATGATCCTTCACTGCTGACGATTAAATGCTCCTTTGTTTTTGATTCGTTCAAGAACGTGCGTCTGGATCCTTCTTAGCATGCACCTCGATCTTATTGCCCGTATTATGATCCTTCCATGGTTGTACTTTAGTGGCCAGTTTGGTCCTTATCTGTCATCAGTTATCTAAGGAGGTATAACACTGAGCGTATAGGCGTCGCCTAATGCAATCTTTTTCCACTGCATGCCACATCGTATAACGAGGATCACGACCATCATAACCAGAGCACAGAGCCCACGCATGCGCAGGGACACGAGGAAACATTACATTTGAGTACTCCTACTTCGGCTACATGCTGAATCAGAGCCCAGACAGTGCATGGTGGAGATGCAGCCGTGTTGTCGAACTCGAGCTGGCAGATCATGGCACTGGACAGTTGACATGCTGGCCGATGGTAGATCTCACAAGCCATGGAGATGTGGGTGGTAATCCATTACGTCGTGTCTGGATCAATGGATTCAAAGTCTCTGTCTTGACTGGTGTATTGGTTACAGTCCCCGTGAGTCAAGATCACGCTCTGAAAACTTGACTTGTGCCTACGGCACATTATTTTCCAGCATCAAGTTTCGTTTATCAGATACTAAAATCTTCGTTCATGACTTTATCAAAGGACCAATGAATTTTTCGCACTATAGATACTTTCCAGATGCATCCGTTCCATTTGATCTTTATCCCGAAGGTTTATCGGTTTTCCATGCTGCATAATTTTCGCTAGGCTTATTCATTCCCAGTGATGTTTCATGCACCGAAAGCCTATCAGTTAACGATAATGTTTTATTTCGAGTAGGTTTGCTAGCTACAGATGCTGTATCATTTTCCGGCAGATATTTAGTTCCCGATGTTTTAATGTTTTACGAGGGATCATCGAACCGTCGGTCAAGACGAGGCCTAGATTAATGTATAATAGAAAAAATCTGCTTCTATATTTACAGGGCTAACCTTGTTGTTGTTGTAATGGCCCATCATGGTAGAGGCGACTAGGTAAGGGAGGGGGTTATAGGGCAGTTTTTCCGGGCACTTAGTGCCACTGGTAGTTCTACGACCATCACTAGCTCGCTGACCCGCCAGAACCATTTTTGCTAACCTTCGAGAGTGTTTATGAAATGAACTTAACTAATATACGACCCATGAGTACTATTTTAGAAGCAAGAGAATAGAGTTTCTGGAGTGATCCACTTGACCCATGCAAGCACCTTTAATGATGGTTTGCAGCCACCTCTCTAGACCCTATCCATTGTCCAGAGCCGTAGGCGTCTATATGAACCTTTTAGCCTTTCTCCTCGATATCGCTGAGCATAGATTTAAACTTTTTAACACATTGTCATCATATGAATGAGCGTCGATATGACATTTTGACCCTTCTTTATATCGATTAACTTTGATTTGATTTTTTAACCTTCTACAACAAATGTGCATGAATTAAGAATAATAATAATAATAATAATTGTAATAATAATAATTAATAATAATATTTTATCTTCACCCTTTAATTACGACTAATATTGAAAATTCGAAAAGTTTGTTGCATTCAAAATCGTTTCTGTGCAAATTCGCCTAAACAGAGTTCTGATTAACTACTTGTACGTATCTTCTTGGATTCTTTTTAAAATTTACTAGGCAATTTTACTTGTGTTTTTGCATTTCTACATGACACGACCACGAAAATTTTGGTTATAAGAATCTATATTTAAAAGACTGGTAGCTACATAGCTCAATTAGAGTTTTATATTGCACAGAACATAACGTTTTCGAGGTCAGCGCGATAGCTGATAAATAATGATGCTGCGCTCATTCTTGCCATCAATGATCATTATCTTCATCGTTCCTATAGAGCAAAAAGGCTAATGAAGTGAAATTTTGAGCCTCTATATCAATTTAAATTGGTGCATTTTATAGATACAATTTGTGGGAACATGTGAACCGAAATTTCAAACGACACCATCAAAAAAGCATTTCTTCCGTTGAATTTTTGCCCGTTATCTTCATGTTCATCATTGAATGAAGGTAATGTTTCCTAATGTTAACATTACCTACATTAAAAAAACGCATTACCTAATGCGTTTTGTGTTAACATTTTATGATTAAATGCCGATAGAAGATCACGTACAGATGCCGCGCACTACTTTGTCATTCGAAATATGAGCGTTCCACTAAAACTATTTTTAGCCGCTAATGTGCAGTTGTTGCATTTGGGTAGCATAATGCTCTAAGAATTAACATATTTAGCAGGTGTAAGGTTTGAACTGAACGTTTGGGCCGGTGGGACCAAAGGGATAACT